TAAATTTTTTATTTAGCGAGAAAGTTTTTCCGCTAAATTTAGTGGAAAAATTTACCCTCGTGACGTCACACGTGAGGTCACGAATGATGTCAAACTCGACGTCACGTGTGACGTCATGAGGATAATATTTCCCCGCTAAATTTAGCGGAAGCATTTCCTGCCAAATTTAGTGGAAAATCACACACTCGTGACGTCACAAGTGACGTCACGTGGGACGTCATTATGGGGAGCGTCCCATAATGCAACGCGCGCTTACGCCGATAACGACGGCGACGCCGCTCCAGTCGGAAACAAAGGCCTAAAAGCTGCGCTCCAAAAAAACAAAAAAAAAAAAAACAACAACAACAACAACAGAGCTATGGTTGGAATTTTGTTCGGGCTTATTTCATGCAAACGCGATCCTTGTCAAACGTTAATATATACGACCTTAACCCGCGCACGTTATCGAAGAGGGAGGGGGGACTGTTTCTACACGCACAAAAATGAGCGGAATGATTTCAGACGGAAAAGGAGATGAGTATTTGCCTCTCTAGCGCTTCGGCACTAGGTTAATATTCTTCATATTTTCTACGCACGCGTTTGAGTACGATTGCCTGTTGTTCGTCTCTTACCTCTAGAGGCAACCCTACGCCTCTAGGTGATGGGTGTTCCGGAGACACACCAGCGGCAGACTTCGAACATGCCCAATTAACCTTTGTCGCACCCTTATGCAAGAACAAAAAAAAAAAAAAGTTTCTGTCGTTTCGGTATGCGCATGCTCGGAAACAAGATGCTGGCAATACTTTTATGCACCGGGTTTTTAATGAATTCATCGCTACACGACTCTTTTTCTAAACTTTTCTACGGAGAAATTTGACCGCGATATAGCATGTTTTCAAATGACCATAGCAGGAAACAATAGCGTTTCTATCGTTCTTTCTTTCTCTTGATAGTTATGTTTACATTGAAACCTAGGTTGCTGCTGCTGCGTGCCGAAAATGCATCGACATCGACGTGTATTTATACGCGACTTAATTACTGATTAATTATTAAGCGTATTCGAAAGAGCCGTGTTCTGAAACTTTTAAATGAGCGAACACCCAAGTGCCTCTTATGAAGAAGTGCGTTTCGGTGTTAGATTGTATACCGGCGTGTTTGAGAAGTTTCAAAAAAGCAAGGCACCATATAAAGAAAAAGGTACTCAAAAACATTCTCATTAAACCCTTTTAGTTCAAACCCTGAGGGCATTTTGATTAGTATCCACGCAGCTGATACTCAATGGGCTTTGTGTTTTCTCTCTTTTATCTTATGTTGCGACGTGTTTCTGATGCGAGACTGTAACGCCGGTTGAAGCTATTAAATTGTTTTATTAACTTATTTAGTTTAGCGCGCAGGATGAACACAGAGTAGCAGAACTCCAACAGAATCTTAAACTTAGAATAGCAAAGAGCTGCTATATTTTCTGTCGGTGTCATATATCGCATCCAACCCTGTAAAACTAACTGCGCATTAGAATTTAATCTTGCGCTTTTGTAACAAAGAGAGAGAGAGAGAGAGGGAGAGAGGGCGGAAACATACACCAAACTTAATCGTAGCGTCGGGCAATATGATCTCGAACGGGCTTAAAAAAAGGTATATTTAAATTTAATCTGCAAGAGTTTAAATTAAATTATATAAACTTTTCAGCAGCTCGCCTGCGCGCTCACTTTTTTTCAGCATTATAAAAAAAATTCAGTTCTCGTTACTTTCAGTCTTGGTATGAATTACAATTAACATTATCAAAAATATATTCAGTACCACCCTGACTCGCTGCAGAAGTAACCCCAGTTGGCGCCTGAAGGTCTAGGTGACTAGTGTACCAGATTATGTTTTTTAACTTTACTTTTAAGCTTTAAAAACACAGAGAGATTTAGGAAACAAAACGGGAAGAAAACTAGAAATACGTGTCGCGTTCAGGGTAAAGAAGCATACCAGTCGCGCTATGTTCATACGTATAAATGTTATTTCTATTAAAATGTTTCCGCGGGGAACACGAAGAATGTTTTTTTTTTTTCTTCCTGGGGGGAAAAACAAAGAAGAAAAAAGTGGTCCGACTTGTAAGTGCTTGTCTTTACACCGGCATCCCAGGGAGGAACAAGAAAGTGCATTTGCCGCTGTGTACCCAGCCGTTACCCCAATACCATGCGCTCTCACAGTAGGGGCTGCAAATAAAATAAACACGGACAAAAGAAACAAAACAAACGTTTGAAGCAACCCAGTCCAAAGCTTCTCCTGGAGTGCAGGGATGGAGGTGCATTTATAGCGAGTCGAATAACAAACGAAATTGTAGCAAACGGTTTTACAGACCTAAAAGCGCTCCAAACCAAGAGCCGAAAAAAACAAAAGAAACAACCCAAAAGAAAATAGGAGTCGGTGGGTGGAGGGGTGTGGGAAAGGGGGGGGGGGGGGGGCGGAGGTAAGTGACAAGAAGGGATCCGAGCTTTGAATTCTACAGAGTTGGTTTCGGTGTCAGGGATGATGTCACGCCCTTCTTCTTCCCTTATCTCTTCGGATCTTCCGTTGTCCCGCCGTGTTTCGGTGTTTATCGTGTTTGCCGCCTACAGTTTACGAGGCCGAGGGAAGTGGCGCGGAGGTAGGGACCCAGACGAGCGGGAGCTATCGGAGGAAGGGTCCGAAAAGTGCTTTTATCGGAGGGGTATCGCCTCTTTTCATGTCTCCGTGTCCCCCCTATAGTTTTTGTTGTTTTTTTACGCCAGGACAAAACGTGGTTTCTTGATTCTTTCTTTTTTATTCATATAACCAAGTGTAGAAGTATGTTTCTTTCGCTATTTATTTTTCTTTTTTTTTATTCACATATCTGCGTATTTTAGTCCTTGTGCGTCTCTGCACCGTGACAACATCCTACGATTTTTTTTTGGCGCTGTTTTACTTTTTTGTTAATCATACGTACCACTAACTTTCCCAACTTTCCAACGGATTTTTTTCACTGTTCTGCATACTATACCACAATAGTTGTCTTTATATTCTACGATTTTCTCTTTTTTTTCCGCTTGAATTTCTGTCTTGCTCGGCTATTTGCTCTCTTTGAATATCTTTCTCGTTCTGTAAGCATCGTTTTAAGGTTTTAATCCTTCGTGTGTTTTTTTTTTTCATTTTCACTCTAAAATATCTCCCACTCTGTCTACTTTTTATCTTATTTCCCTCATACACGATGTGTTTATTTGAAAAAATTTTTCATTCTCCGCCAAAAAGAAAGAAAGAATCAATACATAAATAACACTTTTATCTCGAATAAAGACAGCATTAATTAAAGATTACTCATTCATTCTGCGTTCTCCTCCAATGTAAGGAAAAAAACCACATCAAGAAAAAAAAAAAGAATGGTATAAGTGTTGGGGAAGAACAATGAACTAAGTGAAGTTTGTATTGTAAGCCCATTCACGGCCGATATCGTTACAGCGAAATAGACAGCAAGAAAATGCTGCGCTTCTTTTATGCCTCGTATCATCAGACACCAAACCGCCAAGAGGAACTTGATTTAAACAAAAAAGAACCAAACATTAGCTGGAGGCCAGAAATATTTTCAGATAAAAATAAGAATAACGTAGAATCGATTGCGAATTTCGTGGGTTAGAAAACGAATGGCGCGCTCAAGCAGCTATTGAACATCGGGGCAACAGCAAATTGGCAATGGGAAAAGTTAAAATTGTATAATTTCCCGTTTAACTGTTTCCGAAGGAAAACGATTCTTTCATTAAACTTGTTTAAATTTGTGAAGCACAAACGTATTATGTTAATATAAAACCCACTGAAGAAACAATGTATCGTTGGTGAGTCATATCAATTCTTCCTTACGGGAAGCCGTTACAACTTCGCAAAAATATTCAAAATATTTTAGTTACGCCAACTATTTTAGAAAACACTTTTTTAAATTTTTATTTGGATGCGCAATCGTTAGCTAGTCAAGTCTTCAAATTTTACTTAGCCAGCACGTAATTGAAACAGCAGGAACTCAAATGCAGATTTAATTATTGAACACCGTTTCTTGCGAAGAAGAGAGGAGTTTCTTTTTATCTAATTTTAGCCGAAAGCTATGTTTCTTTTTATAAAGTTAACTATGAAAGTATTCTCCAACCACCGAATGGTTAAAAAAAAAAGAACACAAAATAAGTGGGTAATAATTTAGATATAGCTGAAGTGCATCCACGTGCTGCCGTTAAGCTGCACCTACACACATATACCGTTGTGCCTTAGAATCGGAAATAGGTAGTTTTAGAGAACCATTTTTGGCACATCCGATACGGTGCGATGGGCCCTGCGGTACGAACTGCGCATGCGCTGCCACAGAAGACTCGCGCATGCGCACTTTGTACCGGAGGGCCCGTCGTACCGTATGGGGTGTTTGAAAAACGGTTCCCTAAAACATTCTAATATCGGCCGGTGATTTGAATCCGTGACATCGGTATTCGCCGAGGAGCTGTACGCCACGCAGTCACGTTGTGCAATATTCTTTTGCCGCAGAATGTGTTATAGGGCTAGGTTTCGTAAGAAAAACGATCCCATCATGCTCGAGTGTCACGCTGAGCCGATATACACGGGTCGAGGTAAAAATAAGTCACAACGCCCACGATGACCTTCACTTCAAGGTCATGGCGGGCGACCCCGACGTCACTTGACATTATGACGCCACGTGACGCCATGACGTCAGGTAAGATCATGACGTCATTTACAGAGTCGCATACAGCGTTTGGCCAGCTCCTTCGCAACACTTTCTGCAAGTCTCCGAGTTAATCGAATGTGGAGAGCACAGGACTGGCGGAGACGTCAGAACAACGCCGAGCCCTGATTGGCTGATGAAAAAAGAAATAGTGGGTAGACCTCAAGGCATTGAGGTCTACCCGCTATTTTTTCAATCAGCCAATGAGAGCTCGGCGTCCTTCTGACGTCACTGTCACTCCTGTGCAAGATGCAGACGACTCGCTCTCCGCATATAATGCAGACGATTTCTGAAGAGTTCTCACGGTAACGTCGATGCGCGGCGTCCACACGTTGACGAACAGGCAGTCTTCGGAACCCTCGAACTTTTTCGTGACCGGGTTGAGTTGGAGACACGGGGAACCGAAGATGGCCGCTTGTCGTCCAGCCCCGCAGGATTCCGGGCTGGCCTTGACGGGACGGCGCCAGCGTCGATCTCCCACTGGGGCCTCGGCGTATCTCAGACCCTGCAAAGTAAACAAAACAAAGTCGAAGTTAATAAAGTGGGGCGTATGCTTTTACGACTATTGAGGGCTGACTACCCCGAGTTTTTTAATTTGTCAGATGATGTACGAATCGTGACAAAGTTAAAAGTAACAAGAGATTGTTAATTTTGCTGTGCCTCTCTAAAAAAAAAATGCTTCGTCAAAACGGTCTTTTTTTTTAATAGAAAATTCCCCTCGGTATACATAGTTCACCTCCCACTTGTACAAGTGACGTACGAAATGTCGTCACCTCAGTAACAAGGCCACATGGTTACGCGGTACCAAACCAATTGGAGAGTTCGCCGGCATAAAAACAGTGTGTGCAAAGAAAACAGGAAATCGTAACGTCACAACGACAAAGGCGAAGAAATGAAAGCGGAACAGCTCTCAACATTCCCAGGTCTCCTCGCGCACGCCATGAGATGGCGCGCCCTGCTTCTCAAAACAGTTTATTCGGGTGTTATATCTTCCAGCTGTTTGTCGATAGCGCTAACGAGATGAGTGCCAGTGGCGATATTATTGGCAGGCACCCCCCCTTCCACACACGCCCACACACACAACACTCAAAAAGAAAAAAAATAGGCATCAATGTATTACCTCTTAGAATGCATATTTTCAAAGAGAGTTGTTCGCATGCTCAAGCCCCCCCTCATGCAGCGACGAAGACTCGAACTACAGTAGGCGTTTGGTAGAGGAATTGCGCTACCTCTCCTACCTGTCCCGTGACTCAGACGAGTCGCGGAGGCAGAGTAGAGGTAGCGCAATGCCTCTTCCTGACAGCAATCGTAGTTCGCGCTTTCGCCGCTTGGTGTCGTCCTTGCGAGGAAAAAAAAGTTTATTAGAATCACTGTAAGAACACGAGCATGAGATAAGATAATTCTTTTTTTTTGTATTGCACACATACAAAAATGGACTTCCAAATATATGTACCATCTCTCAACTATAACTCGACGCCGATAAAAGCAGTTATTTTCATCTAACAATCTTACTTCTTCTGCATGATTTATAACCGCATTCTTCCAAACTGACGATGTCAAAATTAAGGGGGTGTTGTGTAACAGCAACAAAGAAAATGGACCCCGTGTTGATGTCATGATTGGTTGCAAGCGTCTTATCCTCAGCTGACAGCGCCTTGGAACACAGTTTTTCAGCGTCAACACGCGTGTCATGGTGTCCCACGCCCTGTTTCAATCGTGGTTTCTTGCCGGAGGCAACTTCCACATCGTTTTATTTTTAAAACTCTGAAACCGCGATTTTGTCTTTCTATTTCTCTTTCTTTACAGTCAGATAAACAACGCCCATTAATATATATCACGCGTCTCAACTGTCCCTTTAAAAATAAAACGACTTTTTTGAACGAAAATTTTATATTTTACGTGAGTGAAATTTTAACACATTCCTTTTAATCCTTTTTTTACTCTGCTTTGGCTTTTTTTTAATGAAAATTTGTGTTTGTTGGTAGTTTCGCACAGTGCGACCGCAAAAGCTAAAGCAAATAAAAAAACCAAAAAACACCAAGATAAATAAATAATGATAAACTGATTTTTATCTACTTACTTTGAGCTAGGATTAACTCGTAGTTTTTACGTGGAAATTGGCAAAAATGTTCGTTTTGTGGGTGTTTCTTTTTTTTTTTTGTACTCACAAGGTTAGCTGCACTGTATCCTCCGACAAAAAACTGACTAAAAGTGGAGGAAAGGAGTCTGTTTGTATTTAATGCTATTTGGGGGGGTAGGATTTAGTGTTTTTATGTCTTCATACTTGAAGGCTCTGGGATTACTTTCCTTCATTTCTGTTTGACCAGCGTCTCGGTTTGACCAGCAACCTAAATAAAGCGGAAAAAAAAGTTGTTTTTTTTATGCGCGAAGATTGCTTTTCTTTAGTCTTTTTTATCAGAAATAATAGAAAATGGCGCTCTTTATGGTATAAATTATAATCTAAAGTGACACTTTTGCGCCAGTTGTTTTTTCTGCGTTCTGAAATTGGGTTCCTCGAGGAATGCCTTTTTTTCATACCAAGGATATTAGTTTGTATCGTTACAGTTAATAATGAAAAAAACAAAAAACAGTGGGACCACAAAAACTGTGTAATCTGTCAAGCAGCACAAAAGAAAACAAGCTTGTCTCGTAAAAAAAAAGATTGATTCTAGATTTTTAGGAGTTTTTGTTAAATTCAAGGTAACGTCAAAAATGTACTGTACCTCCGTTCATAAATAACGTTGTCAGATTTTATAATTGCGTGAAAGTAATTAAAAGCGTTTTATTGAAGATCTCCGAAAATTTATCATACGTAAATGTTTATATCCAATACTTATTATGGTCGTACATCTTAATTTATTGATTTTTGTTTTAGAAACGAAGCAATTTGTTATTGCCTGGAAACGCTAAGTACTTTTGTCAGGGTCAGAAAAAAAAAGAAACAGAAGAAGCGCTCAAGTACATGCATAAAACCGGGCGGGTCCTTAATAAGATAATGCTTCGTGGCCATTCATTTTACTTAGTGGTCCCAGTTAACGAGTAGAAAATGTCTAATGCCTTGAATATATATTTCTAAAAACTTGTTTCTGATGCTCTCGTGCCTCCGAAGAAACTTTACTCAAAGAGCTTCATGTTGTTCACTTGAAGCAGTTACAATATACAGAGATATATAAATTTTAGTTTAAACTCGCACATCCGTAAAGCTCGTTAATATTGCCGCGCGCGCAGCTGGCCAACCAGGCAGCGCGGCCGTGGCCTAACGGTTATCGTGTGTGCTTCCCACGCGAAGAGCCAGCACTCAATTCCTGCGAGCGACGCGATTTTTTTTTATTAATTCTTGCAATTTAGTGTTCTGGTAATTTCGAGAATCCTGTTGCCTGTTCGAGGTCCGAATGCTCTACGCGCCGAACCTTCTACGCTGATTGTTCCAGAATCCCACGCGTGTACATTAGAGGCTTCGCGTGCCAAGCCGCAAGCAGTCTCGCCCCAGCGTTCGATCCTGCTGTTATGCCGACTTCGACGCCCGAGACGCTCTATTGTTTTCTTCTGTTTCCTTTTTGTTTTGGACACAAGTTTTAGTTTCCTCCGTTATTCTCTGTTACGTCACCTTGTCATTCGTGACAATGTGAGTTTAACCTAAATGTCCACTTAGTATAATGCCAAAATACGACAGTGCCTTGAAGGTTCAAAGTAATTTTTCATGATATGTTTTCATTACCTATATTTGTGATATATAAAAATAAAATAAAGAGTGTAATAAAATGCTCAATTAAGCGAGTTCTTTTTTAAAATCTTTTTCGCGTGGTTAAATTCGAGTGCCCCTGTTCCTGTGTTACCTTCGCTCAAGCTGAATCTGCCGGATTTACTTCTTTCTTTTTTTCTTTCTTCAAATACATCTGAGTTGTTGTGACTGTGTGCTTGTCTGTTTTCTACGTATTTCTCTTCTCAGTCCTTGTCTTTTTGTGCGCATCTTTAACCATGTTTAAAAGAAAAGCAAGTTCGAGTTTTCTGCGTCCTAAATCTGTCAGGAGTCTACTGGACGTTTTTTGGATGACCAAACCTTGTAAACAGACAACGCTGATTCACTGATCGTCGGTGTAGATATAAGATAATTTATGCGATTACACCTAATTTATTAATAATATCTGCATCATTATGCACTGCTTAGAGAAATACCAATGGCGACCCCATTTTTCGTTTGAGCAAGATGCCACCAGCGACTCAATCATCTGCCGCAAAGCAGCTGATTACTGACCCTGAATGCACAATTTGTTTTAATATTATTATTGTTATAATTACTGGCAGTATTTTAAGACAATGAATTTATTTAAAAATTGACACATACTCAGACATCAGATGGAATTGTCTCTTTGAAAAAAGCTATAAGGGCAATTAATATCTCAACTCTTTCGGGGATTTTTTGTATTTTTAGAAGGAAATTCGTTGTTACAGGTATTTAATACGAAATTACCAATACAGCTTAATAAATAAAAGCCAATTAATTCCCTTTGCAGTTCCTCGCACTGAACGTGTGTTGAGATGGACTCGTGCGGAAAAATGGATTACACATAAAATGTTTAAACTAGAATACGGCTCTACACTCCTGAAATTTTTCCTTTAGAACACCTCCTTACCAACGCGATTGTCTGTTTGAAAAGCAAGAAAAGAGTGAACGCGAAACGGTAAAAAAAGTCTCCACACCTGCTGAAAAAAAAAGAAAAAAAAAGAACGGAAAGCGACACTTGTGTTTTAATTGCGGTCCTTTCTACTCCAGGGAATTCTATATTTGGCTTACGTACCTGACGCAATAAAAAAAAAAGATCTTGTCATTAATTAGAATTGTGGTTGAAAGCGAAGCTGCGGAAAAATTACAGTCCAACATAAACTTTAAAGGTGCCCGATGGTAGTGTGTGTGTGTGTGGGGGGGGGGGGGGGAGGGGGGGCAGGGTAGGAGATATGCAGATTACGGTTGGTTTCCTAATAGAAATAAGAGCGGCAGTGGGAAGGTCTTGACAACGGGACGGTAGCGCACAATAAGAAAGTGTAAAAGAAAGATATTCTGCTTTAGAATTCAAATGAACATAAAAATCCTGCCGGTTGAGAACATGTTTTGTAGCACTCTTAGATACAATTTTACATAAGCTAATGTTAGGGAGTCTACGTTTAGTATGCACCATATCAAACCTTGTATTTTTGAGCGGCACTGCCACGTAATTAAAGGATTCCTAAATTATTATCTGCTATCTACGATAGCTATGCTCATATTAATAGAGCAAATATTATAGTCATATTAAACTGTTGTGAATATCTTTTGGACGATATTCGAAGTTTTTGTTCCCATTGAATTAGTTTTTAGAAACCTCTCGGTCAGTCGTTAATTACGAGAAGTTGGGCTTTCCCGAAATGTATGTGTCTAATAAATGTTCAATGTTCTGTTGCAACTGAAATTTATTTCAATCCTCTTGAAACAAGGAGGACTTCGATGTACGTAACTTGATTTTTACA